GGTGGGACGGCGGCATATTTTATAGATGTTTAAAGTCGTCGTCCCATAATTCACACACTTCATTAGTTGCCCCTATGAGTTTTGTGGTTAGAGGTTTCTCTATGGGAGTGGTGTAATCAAAGGTTTAAACTCATTACTCCTAACATGGTCCCCATCGATATGAAATATTCCCAATGGGGAAACATTATTATTAGGCTTAGGCGTGGCAATTTTCCTATCGTCTACTAGATCTTGACTCATATGTTTCAGTATCATGCCTAACACCTGTATGATAACTACAATAAGCATTGCCATCCTATTGAGGATTTCTTCTTTCTATGGGAGGAGGAGGCGTTGTCCTAGTTGGTAAGAGTAATCCTTTTTCATTTAATATTTCTAATAATTCTTTATAAGCTAGAGGGAATTGCGTGAATTTTCTTTCTCTTGTCCACCTTTTTCGAGAATCGTTATTATTATATTGTGTGGATGTCACAAAAACATCAATAGAGGATGGAGTGTTATCGTTCCCCTTCTTGTAGTTACTTTAGGTTGATGATGATGAGGCTTGTTTGTCTTTTCTTTGGCAAAATCATCTTCAATCCTAGTGGCCACGGAATAGATCTTTTATAAAATATCTACACCAAGGTAGCGTAGATGTTTATTGTAATTTTCATGACAATTGTCAATGAATTTTTGTACTAACTCGAGTTCGGGCGGCCTTTGGGCAAGGTGAGCCGCCTTTTCACACCATCTACCATATGCAAGGAAAGCTTCATCGTCGCCTTGTTTAAGCATTTCCAGTTCACGCAAAGTTGATTTGAACTCTTCGTTACTCTCATATTGGGTGATGAAAGCCGAAACTACATCTTGCCCATATGTTTTTGAATTTGGCATCTAGCCCATAGTACCGCTCTCTTCCGGCTGGGTCTAGAGATAAAGGGAATGTCAAAGCATAGAGCTTAGGATCAACTCCCTTTAGAGCCATGGTGCCAGTAAAACTCAATAGATGATTTTTTGGGTTATTAGTTACCTTAAATATTGGTAAGTCTGTAGTTACAATCTTTTCAGGTAAAGTAAGTCCCACAGGAGGAGCAAACTTTTCTGCGTCAAAGTACTTGTTTCCCATAGTAGAGCGAAGAACAAGTTTCTCCAACATCTTCTCTCGTTCGGCTAAAGCATCCATTTTTTGTTTTATAGCTAAAGCCTCGGCCTCTTTCCTTTCAACCTTTTCAATTGTCTTAATTCTTCTACCCTTAGCTTCTTGAGCCTTTTCCTCTCTCATGCGATTAATCTCTTCTAGGATTTGTTCGATGGTTAACATTGTTGGACTAGGATGAGTTGACAAAGGGAGATGGTTAGAAAGGGGTGGATTATTTGATGGTAAACGTGGAATGCGAGTGCCCGGGTGTCTTCGTTTCCAAGCTTGGTAACCATTTCTAAAGGAAGTACGAGAAGTTAAGAAAACTAACACGCTTGCTTAAAAAAACAAAAAACGAAAGAAAGTGAAAGGAAGAAAAAAGATGCAAATTACGTTCAAAAAGACATCATCGCCTTTCAACAATTCATAAATAATGATATTGTTTGGACGAGCCAATAGATCACAAAGAATAAAAATGGTCTCGCAGCAGAAGGCGCACGCAAGCTACTAGGTCGCGCGCAGCCCCAAAACTCCCGTTAGGCATATTAAGTTGCGTGCGCCACCTGTTCGAGCAGGATTTTTTTTTTGAACGATGGTATTTTCTTTATTATGTTTGTTTTTTTTCTTAACCTTTTTTTTATATGATATCCCTTGAACGTGACTCAAAACTACGAAGGGAGAACTTCGTAGTTAAGAACCTAAGTTAAGACTAAAAAGGAAGAAAAAACTATTCTATACACGTCACAAATAGTCATGTAGTCACATAAGCATACGAGAAAACCATCAAAGCACATAATGTCATTCTAAGGTCAAGGTTTTGGGTGTCCAAAGGTACCATATCTTAAGAAACCATGCACGAATAAATCACTCAACGTGTTGACCCATGACATATAGCTCTCCTGACATTTTTTTGGCGATATGGGTGGGATAATTGGTATTGATTTTGGGATAGAAGCCCGGTGTTGGCGACCCCTAGTCAATGAGCCAATCCCTAATGGGTTAATAGGTGCTTATGATTATGCATGATGTAATGTTGCTTTTTTGGCTTTTACTTTCGTGAAAAAGGAATATATTATGCGCTCAAGTCTCGCTCTCTAACTAGAGATTATCCAAGTTAGCCCTCGTTACAACTAATAGGTAACTTAAGTTAGGAACCTTGAACCATAACTATGAACTAATCTTGTAACCTTTAAGTCCCCGATGGAGTCGCCACTGTGAGGAGGGTGTGCCCATCATAGGGGATCCTTCCTCTCTATGCCCATGCCCCTTTAAAAGCCTAGGACATTACACTTTTTAGGGTGTGTTAGGATTTGAGTTCCACTGTTTTGGGGACCTTAATTTAGAGTTGATTCTATCATTATGTTTTTTTTGTAAGAAACTAATAAGAAGTTGCCAATGAGTTTTAGGAAAACTCATAAACCTCGTTCATGCCTTTCTCCCAAGTAGGGTTCAAGGGATATTTAGCATGAATCATAAGTTTACCCATACCCAAATTGGTATACTTATACCAGAAATGAGTTCGGGAGCAAGGGTACTAAAATAACGTTTCTTTTAGGGAGGAATCGCTAATCTAGCCCAAGTGCGGCCTCTACTAGCTCTTCCTTTTTCACAATTTCATTACCAAACAATATATGCAACGTGATACCTAAAACTAAGTTAGTTGATTTTATTTACACGCGTCAATTACATAAAAATTACATTGCAACGAATGTCGTTATTCTTTGTTATTCAATTTCGTGAAAAGAACAAGAAATAAACAATATTCGCCTTGAGCTGGGTGTCACGCGCAACTTTGTGAGTTGCGCGCGCCAGGCTAGCGCGACTTCTTGAGTTGCACGCGGTTTTTCCTGCAGTATCCCTAGATTTTAACCTAAGAGCTTCTAAATCCTTCAAAATTAGGTTTAATCTCGGGATTAGACCTAATTGCTGATCAAGCTTAGTATTAACAAGCTTTAGTTCATTTCGTTTTGGGTCAAGCTAGTTGGTTTATGTGTTTAGGCTTTACTCAGTAGTCCATAAGCATTCTTTACTCCAATCCAACACAAAGATGGAATTATTTATCGTCAGAGCACTTCCGATCGGGACAGGGGACCAAAAGTAGATGTCTACAGCGGAAGATGGTTTAACCATGCGTAGATGTGTCCCCACTACAAGGAGTTACCTAACATTCTTGTTGTAGAAATTAATCTGACTTCCCCTTCCACTTGGGTATTAGATACTTGTTGTGGTGCTCACATTGTGAATGATGTGAAAGGTTTACAAGTTAGTAAGAAGCTAGCTAAGGGAAAAATGATGCTTTGAGTAGGAAATGGAGCAACAGTTGCTACACTTGCTATTAGGATCTATCACCTTAAACTTTTGTCTGGTCTTGTTTTGGTACTTAATAATTGTTATTACGTTCCAGCAATAACCAAAAACATTGTTTTAGTTCCTGTTTTAGATACTGAAAGGTTTTCCTTTAAAATTTAAGACAAGTGTTGTTTATATTGAAGAATAATATGTTATATGCTAACGTAAAGTTGATTAATGGTTTTCTTTTAGATTATACATCCCACGTCTACAACATAGATCATAAGAAGAGAAAAATGAATGATTCGAACCCAACATACCTCTGGCATTGTAGGTTTAGTCATATAAACCAAACACGCATCCAAATATTACATAAGGATAGACTCCTATCACCATTTGATTATGAATTATTTGAGAATTTGGAGTCATGCTTGTTGTGAAAAATGACCAAGTAACCTTTTACAAGAAAAGGTGAAAGAGTTAATGATCTTTTGGCACTCATACATACGGATGTTTGTGGACCAATGAGTTCAAAAGCTAGAGGTGGGTTTAGTTACTTTATAACTTTTACTAATGATTTAAGTAGATATGGTTATGTCTACTTCATGAAGCAAAATTCGGAATCCTTTGAAAAGTTCAAAGAATTCTAGAATGAAGTTCAAAAGTTTAGACTCAACTTGGCAAAACAATTAAAGCATTAAGATCTGATTGTGGTGGAGAGTATTTGAGCCAAGAATTCGATGATCATCTAAGGGATTGTGGAATTCTTTCACAATTAACTCTTCTTAGATACAGTTCAATCCATGAGCTTTACAGATCTTCATATATCGTTTTGGGGACACGCTTTAGAAACAACGACAAAAGTACTAAACCGACTCCATATGAGTTATGGAATGGAACAATTCCAAAATTATCTGTTCTAGAGATTTGGGATTGTGAAGCCTATGTAAAGCATTTACAAGGTGACAAACTAAGTCCCAACTCAGACAAATGTTTCTTTGTTGGTTATCCTAATAAAACAAGAGGGTATTACTTCTACAATCACGAAGAAAACAAAGTGTTTGTTGCTTGCGATGGTGTTTTCTAGGAAAGGAACTTCTTTCTAAAAAGCCAAGTGAGAATAAAGTGGTTCTCGAAGAGATTTGAGACGAGCAACAAATGGATTTGGATAACACCACATCAGAGGTGAGGCACATGAGTAAACTCAAATGAAAAATCATGCGTCGGAGCAAGATAATTCAATTAGCGAGACTCCTATCGGCCCACTTGAATCTAGTTCATGTGAAAATCTTTAAAGAATTGAAGAGAATATTTATCGTTAATGCTCCAACCCCACGTAGGTCTAATAAAATTAGAAACAAACAACTTGTTGATATTCTGTTAATAGAAGATTCTGAAATATTCCTATTGGAATGTGCGGAACCTATAACCTACAAGCAAGCTTTGGCGAGCCCTGACTCCACAAAATGGCTTGAGACAATGAAATCCAAAATGGACTCAATGTCTAAAAATGGTGTTTAGAACCTAGTAATCTTGCTTGATGGGGTCAAACCTATTGGATTCAAGTGGGTATACAAGATCAAAACAAAAAAAGATGAGAATGTCTACATCTATAAAGCGAGACTGGTTGCAAAAAGGGTTCAGGAAAATTCATGGTAATGACTATGAAGAAACCTTTTCCCCATTAGCAATGCTTAAGTCAATTCGGATCCTTCTAGCTATTGTTGCCTATTACGATTACGAAATTTTGCAGATAGTTGTTGAAACTGCCTTCTTGAATGGGTTCTTGTTAGAGGATTCAATTAGCGAGACTCCTATTGTCCCACTTGAATCTAATTCTTGCGAAATATTCAAAGAATTTAAGAGAATAATTCTGTTGTTGCTCTGACCCCACGTTGGTCTAACAGAATAAGAAACAAACAACTTGTTGATATTTTGTTAACTGAAGATTCCAAAATATTCCTATTGGAATGCGTGGAACGTACAACCTACAAGCAAGCTTTGGCGAGCCTCAACTCTGAAAAATGGCTTGAGGCCATGAAATCTGAAATGGACTCAATGTCTAAAAATGGTGTTTTGAAACCTAGTAGACTTGCCTGATGGGGTCAAACCTATTGGATGCAAGTGGGTATACAAGATCAAAACAGACAAAGAGGGAAATGTTTTCATCTATAAAGCGAGACTGGTTGCAAAAGGGTTCAAAAAAATTTATGGTATTAACTATGATGAAATTTGGCTGATGGATATTAAAACCGCCTTCTTGAATGGTTTCTTAACGAAGGATGTGTATATGACACAGCTTAAGGGTTTTGAAGATCTAGAAAATCCAATAAAGGTTTGCAAGCTTAAGAAATCCATTTATGGATTGAAGCAAGCACTCGGAGTTGGAACATTCGTTTTGACGAGACAATCAAACAATTTAGTTTCCTCAAGAAAGATGAAGAACCTTGTGTTTATAAGAAGTTTAGTGGGAGTAGCCTAGTCTTCCTAGTCTTTTATGTGGATGACTAACTACTCATGGGAAACGACATACCTATGCTTGAGTCAGTTAAGGAGTGGTTGAGAAGTTGTTTCTCGATGAAGGACTTAGGAAACGCCGAACATATTTGGGAATAAAGATCCATCGAGATAGATCTCGAAGAATTATTGGACGAAATCAAGCGACTTATATTGAAAAGGTTCTTGAAAAGTTTGACATGAAGGATTCTAAGAGAAGATTTCCTCCCATGTCTCATGGCATTACCCTTTGTAAAACTCAGTGCCCTCAAGAGCCAGAAGAGTTGCAACGTATGAGTAATATACCATATGCCTTGGCGATAGGGTTTATTATGTATGCCATGATATGTAAAGGGCCAAATGTCTCATATGCCTTGAGCATGTATAGCAGATTTCAGGCAAATCCAGGTGAAGCACACTGGACTGCAACTAAGAATATACAAAAGTACTTGAGAAGGACTAAGGGTATATGTTCTTAGTATATGGTGGTGAAAGTGAATTGGTTGTCAAGGGTTTTATGGATGCAAGCTTCCAAACAGATAGAGATGATAATCGATCTCAATCAAGGTACATATTTTGTCTGAATGGAGGAGCAGTGAGCTGGAAGAGTTCGAAGCAAAGCACTATTGCAAACTCTACGACAAAATCTGAGTATTTTGCTGCGGTAGAGGTAGCAAAGGAAGGTGTTTGGATCAAGAAGGTCCTAACAAAACTAGACATTTTACATAGTGCTCTAGAAGAAATTGAGTTATTTTGTGATAACAATGGTGACATTGCCCAATCAAAGGAACCAAGATCACATAACAAATCCAAATATGTAACAAGACAGTATAATCTCATTCGAGTGATCGTTGACAGGCAGGATGTCAAGATCTGCAAAGTTCATACGAATGAGAATATCGTTGAACCCCTTAGCAAACCTCTTCCATAGCCCAGGCATGAGAGTCACACTAGGGCTGCAGGATTGAAGCAAGTGCTAAATGGAATTAAAGTTGTATATATTTTGAGAAAACTTATTACAAATGTAATACATTGACTTGCAGTTTATGTTTAATAAGAAATATTATTTCTCTTATTTAATTCTGGTTTGATATTAAACAAAATGTCCAAAATAATTATGAATTTGATGGGAATACCAAACACGAGCCGTTGGTAATTGAAACCCCACAAGTGAACTGAATTCATAACTTGTTTATAAGTTCCTAGTTCAAAATCATTAAATTGGACATAAATGATTTCAATAAATGAACCGGCATGTAATATTAATTGATAGCAAAGTTTCATGGGCTATAGGGAAATAGAGATGTTCAGTCAATCACATGATTGAATTTTTACCTACCTTGAAGTTCAGGTAAAGAAATTCTGAATATATTAGTGGATTCCTTTGACATAAGTGGGACACTATTCTTGTTTGATGACTAGTTTAACTGTGATTGTATTCCATTGTCATGCCGTGAAAGGGGACTATACACGGTACTTTTCGATGATTCTAAAAGTTGAGTGAAAGTTTTGGTTACCACAAGCTTAAACAAGATAAGTTTCATGGCCCCTTAAAGATGGAGAATTGAGAAAATGCATGGCCATGATAAAATGGATTCCTTAGTTGTAATACCCCTCATGATTTCTGTAAAGGAACTAAATATACTACTCATACCAACAAGGTGCACCTTTTTTTTAGGGAGCTCATATGCTAAGATATTTCTCAGATAAGCGTGCTTGGCTGAGAGTAGTTTTAAGATGGGTGATCTCCTAGAAAGGTTTCCCAAGGTGCGCATGAGTGAGGACAAAATGTGCTGGAAGAACTTGTGATGGTCTGTGAGGACAGTTTTATTGCCCCGTATTTTTACGTATTTTTATAAATTATTTAAGTATTTATAAAATATATTTTTAAGGGCTCAATTATTTTAATTATATATTTTAAAGGGCTAAATAATTTTAATTATAAAGTTTTATAAGAGTAAAATATATTTTGGGCTAAACGTTTATAATTTATATTGACTTGAATACAAAGTCGTACGTAAACTATTTATATATACTCCTATTGGACCTACCCTATTTCCTTTAAATAGGCCCAATTCCTCTATTTAAACCCTTGTGGGTAAATATTTAATAATTCAAGCCCACTTATTTATTAAGCCAAAAACTAATCTTTACTCTCTACTCTATAAATACCTCCCAAAACCCCAAAAGTTTTCCCACACAAAGAGGCTCAAAAATCAGATTTCTTAGAGTAAGTATTCTTTCTTTCTTTTTCTTTTCTTTTCTCCTTTTTTTATATTCTTTTTCTTTCCTTTTCTTTTCTTTTCTCCTTTTCTTATTTTATTTTTCTTTCTTTTTCCTTATTTTTGGGGACTTCATGCGTGAAACTCCCAAACATAGGAAGCCACGCATGACCCACCTTGCTGCAACATCACGCCGACTACCACATCACCAGACACCCCACCCGACGACCACCTCCCGCCGGCAAGCTGCAACCCACGCCCACCACCCACGGTGGTTCCCTCTCTCTCTCCTCTTGCTTTAATTATTATTCTAATAATTATATATATTGGGTATTGATTTTGATTGTTAAATTATGATCACTATATTGTATTATTATATTTTGATGATTAAAGAGTGTAAATTTCATACTATAAAGTGTTTTAATTTCTGATTTTATAAAGTATTAAAAGTTAGGGTTTTAAGTATTAAAGATTTGATTTTTAGGGTTCTAACTTGCAATTAATTTGAGGGTTTTGTATACCCTATGTTTATAATTAATAATTAGCCCTAAAAATTGTTTTTTTTAATGAAGTTCTAATAGGTTTCTAATAAAATTATATTGCTGGAATTTTTATATTGTTTCGAGAAGGGTTTCCCATTGGTAGTTAAGCCCGTTTTTTTTGCAAGATCCCTAAAACCATACCTTGTGAGTTTCTATGATGAGAATTTTGAGGTAGGAATGTTAAGGATTATGAGAGTGCAGTTGCTTATGTTAGGATTGTTCACTTTTTTGTTCTTATTTGAGATGTATATTGGAAGAAATAACGGGATGCACATTATCACATAGTTGTGAGTAAAGTGTTTAGGGATAGTTTGTTGTTGTGACACCTTGTCTAGTTATTAAGAATGAGTACTTGAGTTTTATTCACTTGTTTATTGAGACACCAAGGTATATGAATAAAGAGATTGATGTTGATGGTTAAAGAGCTTGTAAATGAGAGCATTTGGGATTTTATCCATTTTGAATTATATATTCTATTTCTGAGCACAAGCTGTGTTGAGGTCGAGATTGAGCAAGAGCCCTTGGGAGATGATCATAGGAATTATATAGAGATGAGTTATTATATGAACAAAAGGATACCTAATTTGAATCAATTGGAGTTTGAAATTGTGAACTTAATGATTTATAATTTCTGATGACGATGAGTATTTATTTTGAGATGGAGAATTGAGCATATTCTTCAATATATAATTGGATTCTTGAGAACTTATGATTTTGTTGGAATATTGAGGACTTTTGTTTTGTTGAACCTTGAGAATATTGACACATATTACTTTGGAGTTATGAGTATTTATTATTTAACCTTGAGCTATGAGAATGATTATTTACTACAAAAGACTATTATATGTAGCTATGCTACCATCTTGGAGAATTCTCATGTTTATTCACCTACTCTTTTGGAGTTGTTTAAACAACCTTATTGTTTGTCCAAAGTGCTACTCATTTCATCCTTTCTTTCAAGTAGCAATCCATGGGGATATTTTTTTATTTTCAATTGTTTGTTTAATTATATGAACTATGGTTGTTTATCAATCAAGATTTTATGCATTCGAATTATTGAGAATAAGAATATAAATATTTTACCTCAAACATTAATTCGAATGAAAGAACGATTGTTTCTTGTTTAAGTTATTGGTTGATGTTAGTTAGTAAAACAAGGAGATGCTAAGTATTTTTACCCAACCTATATATAGAAACTAGTTTAATCATCAAAGCAAGTATGGTGACAAGAAATAATTCCAGTAATGGAAATGATTTAAGCAAGGTAGTAAGACAAGCTTGATAGCTTGCCAAGAATGATATAACCACCAATAATCCCGCAGTGGGAAAAGTGTAACAAGATAGTGTAGTGAAGTGAAAACCACTTATATACCAAAGGGAGATCGATTCCCAAAGTTTTTGAGGGTTAAGTTAAAGAGTTATGCAAGTTGTTTAAAGGTAATTTGTGTCTTGAGAATTTGAGATTGAATGAAAGTTTGTATGGTAAGTACAGGAAGAAGTTAACTTTACCATGTCAGTGGGAACGAATAAGTTATGAATACACCCAATCTTTTTTGAGAGACATTTGAGATAACAAACCTGAGATAAGTTTTACTAGTCTTTCATGCAGATTGAAGAAAAAGGTTGTGGGTTTTTATAGTTGAAATGGAAAGATTGTATGCGTTGGAGTAATACTCCAAGTTTTTAAGCTCTAGGTATTAAAGGAAATGATGTTGCTTAGAAGCTTAAGGGAATGAGTTGAAGGATGGCGAACTATGAGTTTTAATGGTAGTTGTCAGGACATAAAGTCTTTGGGAGTTTGATTGAATTGTGTGAAGAGTAATCATTGATGTATTCTTTG